CGTACAATATACATTAATAAGAATTTATATAAAGTAATTACATCATATTAGATACAGATCAAAGACTAATAGAAAATAAATTGGTTTATTTATTATTTGTCATTTATATTTCATGGTTATCCAGCCATCTCTAACAAGAAATGGTTAAAGTTGAGCTTCAGCTGAATCAGGTTTGATTTCATTACATTGACTGTAAACCTGAAGAGAGTGATTTAGAAGCAACTGGGGCAGCTGGAGTGTTCATGTCAATGAGGTCAAATGAAAATTTAAATTTAAAAAATTAATATTTATAGCACTTTGAAACGTTAAAGACTTGAACTATATATACTTTAACATATTAATATGTATCTGCATTTTCCTCTTGCCATTTATTCTTAAGCTCCTGTAAGAATTTTGTTTTTGTGCCTAATTGCTAGCGCCTATTTGCATCTGTTTCTTTCAGCCTGGAGGTCATAACACCAATATCATTCATCCCTCGTGAAATTACACAGTTTACACGAGAATAATGGCTTAGCCCTCTTCATCATCCAATACAGTTAAAGCAATTGTGCATGAAGTTGGAACCATTTAGAACATTCTCAGAGGGCACAGTGAAAAAGGCAGCACTCATTATTAACTGCTACCACTTCCTGCGGGGGACTTCTCGTCTCCTAACCTCACTTGCTGTCAGCCACAGCTCAAGCCCCCAGCTAAAATGGAAGATGACCAGCCTCGTCCAGTTAATTACGGAAGACAGACCTGTTCAGTGTCTCCACCTGGGTAATCTTCTCTTGTCTCTTTTCCTAATTTCAGCCTGTAGGTTACCTTGATCCGTGAACTCAGACAGGTAATTTAGACTTCTCTGATAAAGCCCATTTTCTTGATAATTAGGTTTTCATACTCATGTTTATTTAAAAAATATTTTTTAACAATAGGAGGTGACTTTAGTGTCTTACCTTGATAAAGAGAATAACAAGTGAAATGCAAGGAAGAGCTAATAAATTAATTTTAAATGTTCAAAAGTATTCTTTAATTCGGGGACCTGAGTATTTAATTATTCTTGTAGAATAATCTACTTGGGGACCCTACGATGAACTAAAAATACTAAAAGCCATTTTCTTTCGGATCTATTGCCTTCATTTGAAACTGGTAAACTTGTTTCTGCATAAGAAATGCACATTTTTACTATGTTTTGTTCGAAGGATTTGATTCCATAAAAACCATAACCATATCCACTTCCACTGACAAATTCGAGTATATATTCCTTTCTTAACATTAGTTAGCAGTACATACCTCTATATCATACTACGGTCACAATCATGAAGCAAATTTATGAAGCAATTTAAGCAGTAGAGTACTAGAAGTTTTGAATCCACTGATTCTTCTTGAACACAAATATGAGAGCATTTGCCAATATTCCTTCTATGGCTGCCTTCACCTTACCAAAATAATGTCACCGAGAGTGAAGTTGGGAAGAGATGCACATGACCAGATCTTGGGAGTTACCTTCAGTTACATCACTGAATGTAAGGGACTCAATCAAGAAAAACAGAAAGAAAGAAAAGAAGAACTTTAAGTACCAACCAGTCACCTTAAACTCATGGTGACCCTCAATGTGTCAAAGCATTGTGGTCCAGAGGATTTTCTGTGGTTATAGAAGTAGACCACATCCTTTGTGTATGTTACCAGAGGGGCCAAGGACATCACACTTGACACACTGGAGGGTCAGTGAGGAAGGGAAAAGACCCTCAATGGGCCTGACTGATGCAGTGACTGCAATGATGGCCTTAAACATAAAGGAGATAGTGAGAATGGTGCATAATCAGGCAGGATTTCGGTCTCTTTTACATGAGGTTGCTGAGTTGGAGCTGATTAACAGCACTGCACAGTAACAGCAGATCACCAAGTTTTGCTTTCAAAGCACCTCGAGTAGATTCCAAACTCGGTTAGCAGCTGAAGAACTACCACCAGAGACTCTCCTTAAAGGACTACAGGATAAGTATTCCATGTGTGTTGAAGAATACGCCTAACGAGTTTTAATACTTTTATTAACCAACTCTTACAGTCTGAGTTTAAAATAATGCTTACTGTTCAAATATCAGTATAAGACAATGATATATAGAAGAAAACAAAGATAAAAGGGAAATGGATCAAAACCAACAAATTCATCATTATAAGAGTTTATAGAGTACTTCTTTGAAGTTTTGTTTCTATTGGGGACATTCATCTAACAACCTGGAACATGTTTTCACACTTCTGTGGCCTGTGAGACATGATGTCCGCCCTCTCCCCCCCCCACATTTCCCACCACTGGAGTTCAGAAGGAAGCATCTGTCCGACGTGTGTGTCGTCATCTCTGGAAACCTGTGGAACTGTGTGGATCTGTAGAAACCCACCTCTTTCCACCAGTCCAGCACTCAAAAGCACTCAGGACAAGCATCCCCCACTAAATATATCAGGATCCATATTACCTCAACATTGGTTTTGTCCCCAGTTTCATCCCAAATACTTTTTTATGTCTGAAAACCTACAGTTTCAACAAAAAGACCAAAGCAGAAAATAATTGTTTCAAAAGAGTTAAAAAAGAGCAATAAGTCAAGTTCAATATTATATTGGCAACACCTTCCACACATAAAGGAACCATGGAGAAAATGCAAAAAAGTTCAAATCATTATTTAAAAACTTTTTGTGTATCACAGTGGCAACTTGAAAATAAGAGGCTAAACCAAAACTGTTGATAGAGAATAACAAGACAAAAATGTTCTTTCAAAAGAGAGAAGGCAGAGAGAATGATGTTCTTTCTATAACACATTTGAACCTCCACTTAGAGATATGTGCAACAATCAGCAGTTTTGACATTATAATCTGAACTCACTAAACTATTTTATCTTCTTGCAGACAACAGGGGGACTATTACAAAACTGTTTTCTCAGCATCTTGCTGGTTTAACACCTATATAATTCCTGCAGTATACTCTGCTTTATTGAACCGGGTAGGCATAATATATATATATTTTTTTTTTTATTTGAAAAACTTACACATATGACTCAAAGTCAAGAGCAGAAACTTTCCACTGTTACAAAACTGGTTGTTCATATATGTGTGTGTGTGTGTGTGTGGATATGAATACAAGAAGTCTATCTACCTAACTCATGTTAAAGTATCTATAAAACTTTATTGAAACTAAAGCACTTTGCAGGTAACCAGTATGGAATAATTTATTTTTATGAAGTTGAAGGCCACTTCCACAGAAACTTTGTTTCGAAAGGTGGGCTGCAAATTTACAGACTCCTTCCTACATGGCTTCTCCTTGTGCCATCCACAAGAAAGTTTGGTTCCGTCTTTGCCTTGGAGAAAAGGAGAACTTTCAGTACATAATTTCCAACACTACATCATCCACTCTGCAAATTTACTAGGACTCCAATGAGAACTTTTCAGAGAGAGAAATCAAGAACAAATAAATTCCTTCTTATTTGAATATATGCACATTAAACTTATATTAGTCTGGGGGGGGAGGAAGAGGGCAATATATCAACTATTTTTGTTTTTAACTACAAAAGTCTTACTCTAAGAATCCCCCTTTGAATTTACAATACATGATCATTTGAAATTGTCTTCTTCGCTTTGGCACGTCTAAACAAACCAGGTTCCAGAAACTCTATTACACAGACTGGCTAATTAGTTGCACCAGAATTTAAAGATTCCTTTAAGAAAGGATCCATCATTTGGGTCATTATCGAAGGATATATTCGCATTAGAATTTAAAAAGCGGTTTTGAAACTGATAGTGACATGACTCAAGACAGAAAAGGAATCTTGTCCTCTGATTGAGCATGTTTACGGCAAAAGAAGTTTGAGGGGAGTTGTGTTCTCATAAATGTTTGGAGCGAACAGAATGAGTGACCTTGAGAAAGAAATCTTACAGCAAAGAGAACCTCTATTCTCTCTGAAGTCTTCACCCTACAATCCCAAGTACAAACGTTTTATTCCGATGTTTCGCTCAAGCTAATGATTCCGAACAATTTGTATGTCCTTAGAGCTGTGCTCTCCTCAGGAATCTGCAATGTGATGGGGCATGATTGCGCTACTATTATTTCCCCATTTCCATGCTCCATTCCCTTCATGTAGCTCAGACTAGAGAAAAACCAGTACGTTCCTACGTATTTACTACTATGAGGCAGTAAGATGGACCTGAATTGAGTGGAGTCTGGAGCTCCAAAATAAATATAACATCATGTGTTTAAAAAAAAAAAAAAGGAAACAAAACTTCTCCTGTACAAATCAGAAGAGATAATAAAAATCAACAAATAGACAGCAACTTTGGTCATACCTACACAAGCATCTCAAAACAACTGCCAACCTTCTTCATAATGGTTCACCCTTTTTTCTTTTTTTTGAGGGCAACATCTCCTAATTCACTTGCTAAGCAATAGTGCACATTGCCCTCAAGCAAATTTTGTTGGGTTTATATTCACAGATGTTCATTTGGGGAAAACTGCCTAAAAATGTATTTATTTCTGAATAAAATGCCTTGTGAATCCACAGCAAAGGAATGCTGCTGGATTCTGTAAGCCTGTAAGCTCAAAGCTTTGGTGTAAATGAAATTTGTCCTGGGTTTTGATACGCAAGAAATTCTAAGACTTTAATGGCAGGCCATCGTCTCGACTTATCACTGGTTGGTGCCACGAAGGTAGACAGAGGTCTGATGCGTCTGCAGGTACAGGAGAGTTGCTATCTATTCACAAACCACTGAGCATTTCTGTTTTATCAAAAAGCTTTCAAATGCTCAGTGCCTGGGCCAGCACCAACCCCGGGCCAGCACCATCCCTTGGGGAAGTCTGATGAAGATACGCCTCACCAAGGCAGAAACCTAAACAGTTAAACGTGGAGACATGTGTACAGCCATCATTTCCCCCAGCAAAGGGAGGCCTTGTTTTCTGTGTGTGGTGGTCGATGGGCTTCCCCCGTCGGCCTGTCCTTCCCTTGTCTGCCTCGGTTCACGCCACACAGAAGGTTCCAGAGCTAGGAGTAGAGGCCCTCCTGGCCTGTCCCGTACATGTCGGCCAGGCGCTTGAAGCGCGGCCCCCAGTCGCTGAGGTAATCGTAGTTCTGCTCCGAGTTCGAGCTGATGGACTCCAGGGAGCTGAGGGACTCGGCCACCGAGCCGTTGCCCTCGAAGGCATATGTCTGCAAAGAGTCGTACGGAGGCGCACAGGGGTCCACGTCGGCCTCTTTCAGCCTTTCCCAGATGAACTCCCGAAAAATGACATTATCCGGGATGCTCTTAAACGTGGGGCGACTCAAGAACTGGATCTCTGGAGTCACGTCCCTCCGGGTCTTGGTGTCTCTGATGACGTTGAGGTTCCGCAGGGCGGCCATGTCGAAGGCCTCGGTGTCTTCCTCCCCTCCGCCTTCGTCGTCGTAGCGCACGATGTTCTCCCTGATGTCCCTCTCCTCGTCGAAGATCAGGGGCTCTTTTTTCCGCCTTCTCATGGTGACAATCAGGAGGATCAGCACTGAAACAACGAGAAGGAGAAGATGTCAGTCGCCTGGCCACTGAGGACACGAGGCCTGGACCACTGTGCTCTGGCCCTGGGGGGCAGTGAATTGGCACCTGCTTCTGTGACAGTTCACAGCCGTGGAGGCTTCAGAATCGCTCAACTGACTTTAAAATAGAACCCTTTCATGCATCGAGCAACCCTTTTCCACACCTGTTCAGCACGGATGTCTCTCCCCTTTGAACAGAGCCCCCAAAGTATGCAAAAGCACGGACGGAAGGTCCAGTGCATGATCAAGGTACTAATTTCAAAGCCACGACATGCAAAAGGGATGTCTTTCAACCCCTTAATTGCTGGAAGGGCAAAGTGGCCTTCATAAATGTTTGGTGTTTAATTTAACAACTGCCATTTCAGAGGGAAATGGATTACAGCGTTTTGTCTGGTTCTTTGAAGAAATACCTGGTCCTTGTCTGTGAAACTCAGCTGTTAGGTAAAATCCAGCATGTCAGGCAGTATATACAAAGATTAAAAGCTTCTCTAGAATAAATTGAGCCTCACTTTCATGGATGAAATACTGGACTTGGTCTTTATGCATTATACCTAGTGAGAGCAGAGAGTTCTTCTTCTGCATCCGTCAGAGAGAGATTTAAGAAATCCAGCATCCCATTAACACCAGATTTTTCTTCCTTTATCAAAAGTAATAACATTAAATTGTAAAGCATGTGGTTGTAGGAGAGACAGCAAAGGAGAACCATGACAGGGGCTATTTTTTGGACTTAAATAAAAACTAAACTATTCTATATTCTTGTATATCTTCAATAGCATCCACCAGAAGGAGGCTATACTGACCACCATTGAGAAATTGCTATCGGATGTGAGAACACATCTGATGTTGTAGATCTTTTACTGTCCATCAACATAATCTGGAAAAAGTGTTCATTCGTTTTGGAATTCTAAAATGAAGACAGAAATGTCTTAGTTTCATACAATATCTTTAAAGATATTTCTATTATCTCAACTTGTTTTTCTTTCCCCCTCAGAGCTCTAAATGGCCATAAATATATTTAATTGATGGTTGGAATACATTACTGTTAGCAGTATGAAAAAGCAGAGCAGTTATACTTAAAGTGTCTTTTTAAGCTTTTATTTTATATTTTATCTGGTATTAAGAAGCATGTGAAAAATGAAACAAATATATAAACCCAAGAAGAACATTAGTAAATACTGACTAAATGTAAAAGCAAAATGCTAAGTACTTGCTTGATATGAAATAAAATGAGATCATTAATTTTCATTGAAAATCATATGTATTTCACTGTCATCAACACATGAGACATGAGAGGTAAGAACAGTTCTACTGGATGCCTTTGGAGATAGTTTGAATTCTTTTTTGTAGTATTCTTCTTTTCTATTTGACCTGATTATTATTTGCTACTCTATTCTTACTGCATTCAGTTATTTACCAAAATTGTAGCTAAGTAGTTAAAAACCCCTTTGCTTACATGTTTCTTAAAAATAAAACAATAGACACAGAGGTATGAGAAACCCCAGCAATCTCACTCCTAGTTGTACATGCAGAGATTGTAAAGAAGTGACTCAAGGAGACACATGTCCACTTGTACTCTGAGCCACTCTGGCTAGCAGTTGAATGTTTAACCATTTTATCTTTCAGGCTCTCCTTAAAGAAAAAAAAAAGTGCCTATCTATACATTTTTAGACACATGAAGGCATAAAATAATCATTTACGATTTACATACAACTGCAAGTACTGATAATTTTCACTTGGTCCTCCTAAAACAAACGTGATCACCAATGCTTTTCTTTTTGGGAAGTCAAGGTGAGTGAGGCATCAAACAGAAAGAATGGAGGTGAGGTGGACTGAAGGGCAGGTGAAAAAAACACACCTGCTGCCCACACTGGGTATCGAGGAGGAGGAAAGTGCACTAAAGGACAAAGAGGAGGGGACAGATGAGCACGAGGATAAGGGGTGATGGTTATACATTGATCACTCGCTCTTTTGATTTATTGTCCACAAAGTCAAAAGTTTTTAAAATCATGATTCTGCTTTAGACATCTTTTCAGGATGATCCTTGATGACTCAGTGTATTATACATTTGGTTGCAAACTGGAAGGTCTGTAGTTCAGACCCTATGGGACAAAGGGGAGACTCTTGTAAAGATTTTCAGCCTCAGAAACCTCATAGAGAGCTGACATGAGGCATAATCAACTCTATGACACTCTGTACACAGCAACTATCTCCTAGATTCTGCTCCCTGAAGACAAGAATGGAAAAGTTCTGTCTCACATATTTTGGGCATGTTGTTGGCTGTTCCTTGGAGAAGGATGTTATGCTTGGAAATGTAGAGAGTCAGAGAAAGAGAGGAAGACCCTCAATCAGCTGGTTTGATACAGTAACTGCAGCAGTGGGTTCAAGTGTGTCAGAGATTTTAAGGCTGGCCCAGGATAGGACAATGTTTAGATCTGTTGTTCACAGGGTCACTATGAATTTTGCACAACTTGATGGCACTTAACAGCATCCAAATTGTATTTTCACTCTATTCATCAACTCTATTCAAATACAGACCACCTCAATCAAAGGCAGACAGGCCTGTACTCAGGGGTGTGTGAGTTCACAGTTAAAACACACACACACACACACACATTTAAGTGTCTTATGGAGTTCTGCTTCGTCTCTAGTCTTGCTCGAAGCAAGGAAAAGTGTGAAGTGCTTTAGAGGGTTAGACAATTTAACATTTCAATGAATTGGGAGAATATTAATTTCTAAGTACTTGAGCACGTAAGAAAAATAAATTTTAACCTTTACATAGAACAAGTATCAACTGCTCTTCAGGGACTGCGGGGATAATCCTACTATTAAAAAGAACATTTTCTGCCTAAGTAAGCACAAGATTATATATTTTAAGAGGTTTTATCACATGTCTTTTCTGTCATAAGGACTAGACTCCTGAGCAGAGACAGAAGAAATAATTCAGGTCTAACTGAAGTCCAGACACGTGATAATCATATTAAGCTTCCTGTTCATTAATTTATGTATCTATTTCACAGGAATACGTTGACTGTTTGCTATAGTTATGGTTGCCAGGTACCATCAAATAGATTCCAGCTCAGAAGGATATTCTGAAACCTTGCCCAATCCTGCACCATCTTCACAATTTCTACTGTGGTTAAATCTACATGGTTAAAGCATTCCACTTACGACATTAGCTGCAATCAAACATTACAGTGAGAAGCAGACATAATCCGTTTCTTCATTGAGCTTACAGTTAAATGTGCTAGGTAGATGTTGATCAAGCAATAAAGTAAATGAATGTTAAAGTAGAAGTAGACTAAGTATTGCAAAAGGGGGAGGTAAGAGCTCATGAAAATCCATAAATGAGAGGAAAGAATCCGCTTAAGTCTTAATTGAGGATAATTGCAAGTCATGATGAGTTGGAGAGGGACGTGTTGAAGCCAAGGAGGAGCATCCTTAGCACAGGGAACATCATGAGCCAAGGTCCTGAGGTCAGTGTGGCTGGAGGCACAGGAGGGTGGAGCGCATGGCTGGAGGTGCAGCCAAGGGTCAGATGTCACAGACAGCACCACTCTAATGCTGTAAGCAATGCAGGCCATCACTAGGTCTCTCTATGGAAACCTGAATCACTGCAACTTGACCAAAGAGAAGCAGAGGGGCAAAGCAGAAGCTAAAAGCTGAGTTTCTACTGCAGCAGTAAATGAAACTGGAGGCATAGCACTCCTTGATCACAAAACCTACTACACCGCTATAATAACCAAAACAGCCATAGTTCTGTTACAATGTCAAGCACACAGACCAATGAATTAGAGAATCCAGAAATTAATCCATCTATCTATAGTCAACTGATATTTGACATGGAATCAAAACTCTCAAATGGTGATATGACAACCTCTTCAACAAAACGGTGCTGGCAAAACTGGACACATCTCTCACCATACACAACAATCAACTCAAGGTGGAACCAAGACGTAGGGGTAAAGCCCAAAACCACAAAGATCATAAGAGACAAAGTAGGAACCAATCTTAGGAGTTCTAGCTCATGGTATAAAAAGGCTGACAAATACAGTCAGAAATACACAACCAGGAAAGGATAAAATTGATGAATGGTACCTTCTAAAAATTAAATCCTTGTTCACATTAAAACACAAAGTGAAAAGAAAACTGAATGACTGGGGGGAAAATATTTGGCAATAGCATCTCGAACAAGGGCCTCATCTCAAGAGTTTAAAGAATACTCCTGGACTTCCACAAGAAGACTGATAACCCAATTACAAAATTGGCAAAATAAATCAAGACTTTTTTCAGAGGAACATAGTCAGATGGCCAACAGACACATGAAGAAATGCTCCAAATCAATGGCAATAAGAGAGATGCAAATGAGATACCGTCTCACTCCAGTAGCAGTGGCAAAGTTTAACAGGACAGCAAGTAATAAATGTTGGAGAGGATGTGGAGAGATAGGAACTCTTATACACTGTTGGTGGGATTGTAAAATGGTACAACCACCCTGGAAAGCAGTTTGGCGTTTCCTTAAAAAGCTGAACACAGAAATCCCCTATGACCTAGCTATTCCACTGCTTGGAATATACCTGAGAAAATTAGAAATGAGGCACAGAGATTTGTACACCAATGTTCACAGCAGTGTTAAGTACCATCACAAGAACATGGAAATGGCCCAAATGTCTAAGCACAATTGAATGAATCGAAAAATTGTGATACATTCATATGATGGAAACTACACAGTATGCAGGAGCAATGATTTTGAAAATGACAACATAACTTGGGAGGGACTGGAGAGCATTATGCTGAGTGAACGAACTCAGTCCCATAAATCCTGTACAAGATCATTATTGTAGAAATCGAAAGATAACTAGTAAAACGACTGTGAGGATCCAAGTGGTGAAAGGGTAGGAGCAGTGGGGTGAAGATGAGGAAGTGGTAATCATGGGGTCACACAATTTGAAGGGTAGAGAGAGGGGTGGGT